AGGTGTCACAGCACCAATATTGAAGGAGTCATACTAATCCTAGAATGAAAAATCTGAGGATATTTCCAGGAATTTTAATCACAACCCCGAAAAGGTTTTGCTGGAAAAATGGAAATTTCAAATCTCCCTTGTAAAATGAAAACAATATGATTTGTACAGATGTGCTATTTTTCTTCCCTACTTTGCGTGAGTCGTATGGGACAGTAACTAAAAATTTATTAACCTTGTTTACTTTATCTTATACCAGCTAGCCAATCAACCCTGTATAATCGACCTTATGCTTGTTTTAAAAAAAACTAATCGTTTTCAGCAATAACATTTACTATTGCTATACGTTCACGGTAACTGAGATTAAGAAATAACAGAGATTGTAACTTCACTATTTTCCCCTTCTCAGCATCGTTTGTCCTCACTAATACTAAATCGGGATATGGGAAGAGTCTGGGAAGTTATGCGATCTCAATGCGTTACGCGTAATGGGATGTAATAAGAATAATGGAGAAAATTAATGCCTCTAGTCTGCTTGGTTCCTTATTTGTTTTATACCCCTACTGTAAACTCGTTATGAACAGAAACAATGAAAAATAAAAATTGATTTAAGGGACGGACCACAAGAAAAGTGAAAGAGGGCGGTGTGGAATCGAAAAACCAAAAAAAAACTATCTATACTTGAAAATTTGACGTAAAAATAGACTACTTGCAGTCCGCCTTTTCTCTTAAAATCCGTCCAGTTCTTATCTCATCCAGCGCGATTGCAGTAACTTTGCAAAGAAAAATAAGAGACTGCTAGCAGTTTAACGTAAAAAATGCACACATGACGAACCCAAGAAGCAGAAACTCTTCCACGCTTCCTTGACGTCCCCACGTACAAAAATTGAACCGGAACATACATTACTATTATATTACAAACCCACGGCTTGAAAAAGAAAGCTAAAACACCAAGATATGGCTAACGTGCACAAAAGATGACGAAGTGCAGGCGTTTGAAGGGAACGGGAGGGGCGTTACTAAAGTGCGGTAGGGCACGAAGGGCGCATCCACTGAGTTCTGTTGCTCACGCAGACTATTGACCATCACAAGGAAACGATCTTTACTAAGTGGGTTCAATTCCCGGGGGAGCTCATGGAAAATCCGGGTGGCGTGTGCGGTGTGCTCCCTGCAGCCTGCAGGGCGCGACCATTGCGTTCTGCTGCGAGCGCCTCGCAAGCTATTGACCATCCCCAGGAAACGATCCTCGCTAAGTGGGCTCAACACCCGGGGGTTTGAGGGGGGGCGCTCATGGAAAATATGGGTGGCATATGCGGTGTGCTTCCTAAAACCTGAAGTTTGCACCCATTGCGTTGTGTTGCGCGCACCACACAGACTATTGACCATCACTAGGAAACGATCTTCACTAAGTGGGCTCAACACCCGAGGGTGGGGGAGCTCATGGAAAATCCGNAAAAACTATCTATACTTGAAAATTTGACGTAAAAATAGACTACTTGCAGTCCGCCTTTTCTCTTAAAATCCGTCCAGTTCTTATCTCATCCAGCGCGATTGCAGTAACTTTGCAAAGAAAAATAAGAGACTACTCGCAGTTTGACGTAAAAAATGCACACCTGACGAACCCAAGAAGCAGAAACTCTTCCACGCTTCCTTGACGTCCCCACGTACAAAAATTGAACCGGAACATACATTACTATTATATTACAAACCCATGGCTTGAAAAAGAAAGCTAAAACACCAAGATATGGCTAACGTGCACAAAAGATGACGAAGTGCAGGTGTTTGAAGGGAACGGGAGGGGTGTTACTAAAGTGCGGTAGGACAAGAAGGGCGTATCCACTGCGTTCTGTTGCTCACGCAGACTATTGACCATCAAGATATGGCTAACATACACAAATGATGACGAAGTGCAGGCGTTTGAAGGGAACGGGAAGGGTGTTAATAAAGTGCAGTAGGACACGAAGGGCGCATCCACTGCGTTCTGTTGCTCACGCAGACTATTGACCATCACAAGGAAACGATCTTTACTAAGTGGGTTCAATTCCCGGGGGAGCTCATGGAAAATCCGGGTGGCGTGTGCGGTGTGCTCCCTGCAACCTGCAGGGCGCGATCATTGCGTTCTGCTGCGAGCGCCTCGCAAGCTATTGACCATCCCCAGGAAACGATCCTCGCTAAGAGGGCTCGACACCCGGGGGTTTGAGGGGGGGCGCTCATGGAAAATATGGGTGGCGTATGCGGTGTGCTTCCTAAAACCTGAAGTTTGCACCCATTGGGTTGTGTTGCGCGCACCACACAGACTATTGACCATCACTAGGAAACGATCTTCACTAAGTGGGCTCAACACCCGAGGGTGGGGGAGCTCATGGAAAATCCGGGTGGCGTGTGCGGGTGGGGGTGGGGTCTTTGGAAAATACAAAGGGGGATATGCGTTGTGCTTTCTTAAATTTTTTACCCCAATTTACACCTTATTTGCTATCCTAGAAGAGGAATGATAAAAGACAGACCCTGGTTCCAGTAAGTGACAAAGTTTACTCCACTTCAGCCCCAAATGTAAAATCTTTACCCATTTTCAGGTCAAAAGAGGTAAAAACATGCCCTTTGGCGCCATACGTACCGATATACTGGGCTTATATAAGACGGTATGTCCCCCCGGGTGCAACATTACCTTACATTATTTGTATCGTTTCAGTTAAATCCTACTCACATGGACACACATGTACATCAAAGGGTGCCGGATAATATTAATCAGCATAAATGTATTTAAAAGGACTTATTTGAAAAAATAATGATTTCAAGTTTCAAAGTAAAAATTGATACCTCCAGCCAGTCTCTTATGTTACTGGAATTTGATATCTCCACTTGAAATTCGTATCGCTAATTTAAAAAAAACTTGTACCTTTCGTAGACATATCTTTTAAATTACATCTTTAATGTGAAAACGTCACACTTAGAAGCGAGTTTCCGTAATTACTAAATCAACACTGAAAATCTATAAATCAAGAATATCTGAAATTATAATGTTGTTCTCAGGGGCACCCAACGACAATTTTCGGAAAATTATCTGTTCGGAAGACGATTTGAGGTCTAGAATTTTCGGATCATTTTCTGAAAAATTTCTTGCTTGGCTGCCTCTCCTAGGATTTTCGAACTTCAAAAAAATCGTATAATTGCCCATTTTTAACGGATTTTTACCCAAAAAGGTCACCTAGAATTTTCGGGAGCCTTTTTTCTGGCTGAAATTTTCGAAAAGGTAAATTTTGTTCCCTATAATTTTCGGATCACTATACTTTCAGCTAGGAAATCCGAACAGATAAAAATTTTTTAGGGGATAAAAATAAGCTTTTATCTACCGTTTAAATACTAAAGTACGTTCAACAATGCTATGTTTATGTGGTTTTGAACTATATTCTCGTTGGGTGCCCCTGTGTTCTGGTATGGGGCTGGGCTTACAAATTTTTACTTACTGTGGATAAAACTTACATGAATTTCAAAAGTAGAATAAGATACAATAAGCAAATTTACATTAAATTGCAATTTGAAATTTATAAGCCGAAGGCTTGAAGGTAAATCGCTGAAAAAGAAGCTCCTGTTTTTCATTTACTCCATTAACAGTGGCGGATCCAGAGGAGGCCCTCCTCCCTTATTTTTAGACCGAAGGCCCGAAAAACGTTTTTTGGAGACCGGGCATCCACCTTATCTCAGGGTCTGGAACCGGCACCGATGAAGTTCCAAGAGTAACCAACATCCGACTTTTTCTCCCCAAAATATCAACACAATTAAGAGAAAGTTTTATGAAAATTTTAATTAAAATAACATCATCGCCCATCACCTACTGCACATAACATTGCGGTGGCGATGATTTCTATCTTTCACCCGAAGAGAGGTACCCTGGTTCCAGACGTTTTTTCTCGCCGAAACCCAGAACGGAAACCTCGCATGAAACGCCTCCGACACCCAGGGTAGAAAACAGGTAACAAAGGCTTCTTTGTAGTGCAAATACCCTGAGTACCAGAGGTTCTATCTGGCGTGCGACGAGGAGCTTCTGGCGCCCAGGGTATAGTGTAAATGGTTTTAAAAGCGATTGTGAATTCTCCTGTCGGCTAAAAAGGTGCTGGTCTTTTAAAAAATCGCCCAAGTCCCCTCTCGCAAAATGATCAATTGTAGCCGAAACTGTCCTCTTTTTTGTCTTTTAGCAATGAAACGAGAACGGTGAGCCCCTCTTTTTATTGGTTTTGTTTACTCGTTATGGCTACAAGAAAAAAAGATTATAAGAAGGAAAATGATCTGGATAGTAAATGAATGACATGAATGACACATTTAGAGCCATGAGATAATGTTAAAACTGTCCATTTTTTCACCTTTTTGCAACAGTGGGTAATTTGAAATCACTTTACTGAAAAATTAAAGCTCAGAAAAACAAACAGGCTATAGTAGTAAGATTCATCGTTTTTGCTATATGAGAAGAATTTTTGACGGAACTGGAAAAAACACCTTGAATTACGGGCATGCAGGGCCACAACAATGACGGTGACCCCATCTTTTTGTTGAAGTTTTTTCAAGGTCGTATGTATTGCTGTCAACTGCACCAAGTTTGAAAAAAACTGTATGGCACATCTTTTCAAAAAATAACCTTCCTGAAAAGTTTCTTCGGGGAGGAAACAATAAAGGATGTAGATGTGTATAGTATGTATGTGAGAAAACTTATTGAAATCAGTGTGGAGAACTTTTGTGTGGACATTGCGACTTGAAGGGTTGATTAAAACGGAGAGAATGGTCGTACACATGCACTTGGATGCTTTTCTTGCGTTATAGGCACAGCCCTCTTGTACCTTTCTCTTGGTTTGTGGGTTCTATGACCACTAAGCCAGACTAACGGTGACTTGATTTTGTTTTGTGAACGCGCTCTAGCAAAGTAAAACCAAGTTCGCGCGCAGAAGAACAAAAGTCGTTTATGACGAGATTCTAATGGAAGTGTCGAGGAAGTATGGTTATCTGCAACACGCAAAACCGAGATGAATCGGCAAACAAACTTTCACCACATTCCAGACAGCGTTCTTCTACACATTTTTAATTTCTTGTCCAGGCATGAACTTGCGATAGCAGCGCAGGTCAGTAAGAGATGGCTGAGAATAAGCCGCGACGGAGCGCTGTGGAAACATATGGAGCTGGAGAGCAAGGAAGAAAACGATGTTAAGGAGGTTATCACTAAAAACTCATGCTCCCTTCTAACTAGAATGAACCTTAGCAAGTGTAACCTCACCCCAGAGTTTATGGTCACTCTGTCTGGAATATGCACACAACTCCGAGAGCTTACACTTCAAAAGTGCTTCTTCGCGCGTCAAAAACGACGATTTCGACTGCATACGCTTAGAAATTTAAAGACGCTGGACGCGCGTTTGTTACGTGGAAATTCGGCGTTTGTCCTTCGCCTACTACGCTGCACTCCAAATGTTGAAATGCTAGCTGTGGATGAAACAATTGGATCTAGCTGGAACGGGAAAATTCTACGATTGTTGAGCAAACTTCGCTTGCTGGACTTGTCTCGTTGTATTGAAGTGACCGACGAGGACATAGAAATAATGGCTACCAGCTGCCCTAGTTTGGAATCGCTACTTTTAATTAAATGTTTCAAAGTTAGTGGATACGCCTTACCTGTTCTTCTTCGCAACTGTAAAATGCTAAGGACGCTATCACTGGCCTACACAAGGGTGACGGATGACTGCTTGCGCGAATGTAATTGGAAAAACTCCACCTTGAAAGAACTTGATTTTTCTTCGTGCTACTTTGTCTCATCGCGTGGCCTCAGAGTGGTATTTGCACACCTATCTGACGCCGTGTATATTAATTTAAGTAACTGCAGTGAGAATTCTGCAGTCACACCTAACATTCTATCAGACATGATGAGGTTTAGATCTCTTCAGGTACTAAACCTAGATGACGGTTTTGTCACCTCTGAGGCTAACGAAGAACTTATTTGTCAAATCGCTCATAACTGTCCATATATCTCGTGCCTTTTGGTGGGTATCACCCTACAAACAGCTAGGTGTTTGGAGCGATGTTTGCAAAGTTTAGAAGATCTTAAACGATTCGGTATCTCTGCTTACCCGGGGATAGATGATCCTCCTTTAGTTCGTCCGCCCATACCCGTGGCAATCCCACCAAATAGGTTTGGATTAGACAAGATTCTCAATACTCTCGCAACCTACTGTCATAAGCTTGAGGCATTACAGTTGTCGGGTTATCGAGATCGCGAGTGTGAAACTGTTACGAACGCTTTCGTTAACTTACTAAGAAATTGTGAAAATCTTTCACGTATTTGTTCCTTTGGCGGAAACACTGATATTCTTGTCATGGCGGCCGACGCACAGCAGCAAACGAGACGGCACGACATTCGGCTTATCAAGCCCACCATGCTGTTTCCAACACCCAGAACGGTCACACCTCCCCCAAATATGTGTTTTGACAGGGTGGTTTATAACAAAGAGACCAGTACCATTGACGATCCCTGGAGAGGTCCCTTTGTCTACGAAGTGCAAAGAAATAGACGGTTTTGGATAGAGAATGCCTATGAGTAGACGTTCAAGCTGACTGCGTCGACCCTGCACTGTAGAGATTTTTGACATTGTACATGCGAAATTCTAGAGCTTGCACAAGACCTGTAGAGGTCTCTAAACTAAAGTTGGCTGAATATTAAAAACTCATTGTTTTTACTTTATTTCAAGTTACTTTATAAATAGTTAATTTGTATGTAAAACTTGAATTCACGGAATAAATGACATGATCGTTTCACACTCTTTTTATTTTAGTCAAAAAATTTATTTGCACACTGATGTTTACAAGCATTGTTGTCAAGAACTATGAGTTTCAAGTCTCCCAACACGAGCATGGGAGTTTCAGGCAGGTTTGTCATGGAATACCTGAAGTTTAGATCCACTAAACACATTTACTGACAACAGGAGGGCTAGTTATTTTGCATAACACTGTGGCCACTGTATTGAATGTTGACGAGGATTTATTTATTTTTGATGAAAACCGTCTTCCCCCACTCCTACTAGCTTGAGTAGTTTTTGCTAACAGCTGTCTAATGACTCTTCTCAGTAGTTTTGCTCTCTTGATGTCATATACGGCCTAGATTTCAGATTTTCGCCTCTTGTATTGATGCAGTCGAAGGAGTTTTACACTTCACAGTTGGATTTGCAATCCGAAATTCTTCTATCATTCCTATGGTCTAAAGATCAAAGAAACGAAAATAATTAAGCCGAAGAAAAGTTGCAATTATTCCGCAACTTACCGCTATTCGAATATACGAGTTCGTCGAGTACCACTTTTTGATTTGGTAATCATAACTAAAATACCACACAGTACTACAAGTTGAATGCGAATTACATAAAATCTGATAAGTGTAATACGCGAGTACATGCGAGTAAATGACCGCTTTTATACGGGGCACGGGGAAGCATACAACTTTCTTTTTTTTCTGTAAATTAACTTGCGTATTACTCTTGCAGAATTAATCTTCTCATCTAAAAGGTTTTCCGTAGTTCACTACTGAATACGAATAAGCAGTAACGTATCAAGGTTACCGAGTTCATCGATTAAGTTTTAAGTTACTCTGCGAGTAACTTAACCTATACTGATTCAGATAAGTTAATGTGACTCGTCTCTTTTCCAGTTGTCTTTTCAATTCTAAGCGTTCAAATAATGGGTACGGCCAAGAGAACGGTGCAGGAAAGAAATGGGAGGAGTATAGAAAAAGGGAGCGTTTCTCCGTTTCCTATTTACGCTCCACTTTTCATTTGGCGCCGCTCCCAGCTACAGTATCGACCTGAAAGCCTGTGATAGGCTACTTTTCAAGGCACCAGAAACTCATACTTTCGCAGGCGTTGGTCTACTACAGTAAGAGGGTTCTCACGGCACTGTGGAAAGGGTGCATACAACACATTCGTGACTCCAAGATGAGGATGTCTTCATAACACCATTTTTTTGTACTTTAACACCCTGCAGTAAAAACTGGCTGTAATGGTAAAATTAATTAGCATTAAAAAGGAAACATTAATTATGAGTGCAACCTAACAGAAGGCCTCAAAACACAGACAGTGACTGATTTTGACTCATCAGACTTACACTCACTGGTTTATTGTCCCTTTTGCAGTCGGAAGACCGAATTGTAGGATACCTTACAAGCTGTGATATATATATATTTAACAGTTAATGAATGAGGCTGAGTATCTTATGAAGAATTATGGAGATCGAGGAGGGTGTTATCTGTCGAGGCCGTAGGCCGAGGCGGATAACACCCTCCGAGATCTCCATAATTCTTCATATGATACGAAAGCCGAATTCAATAATTGATTTATTATTCATTCAAAATAATTCCTAGTTTAAAAACATAGCTAAAACAAGCTTACCTGTATCGATGTTAAAGCTTACCTGTATCGATGTAGAAGGCTGCATTTTTGACGTAATTTCCTCGTTAAACACAAAATTCTTCCAAATTTGTTCAGGAAGTAACTGGGTATGGTGAATTATGCGTGTGCTTTTAGCCAATCAGAAGTGGGGAAATATTTTGAATGAATAATAGAGTACTAAAGTGATGACGTCATAAAAATGAAATTTCTGAAATTATGGGATTTGTCAGGATATTCTGAAAGAACAATGTCCAAGAGGCCTACTTGCCAAAAATGAGCATT